AATCACAGAGAGTTGAGGTGGAGCAGCCAGAGGATATCTGACCAGAAACCCAGAAACCATTTTCTCCATAAAATATGATCCTGTTTCACCAATATCAGCAGTGGTTAGTTGGTGGTGTGTGACTACTGCCGTAAAGCGCAGTACACACAAGTCCTGTCCTGGAGACCAATGTTTTACTTTTAAAGCAGGAATAGATTGCTGTCAGATTTCTAAATGTGAGAGTTACAGTATTCACTCTGGTTGTCTGTCTGTTTCATCTGCAGCTGACCAGTCAGGACCACACGCCGCAGGTGATTCAGAGGGCTCTTGAAAAACACAACATGGAGGATGTCAGCTGCCATGATTTCAGCCTCTGCCAGATGCTCAACAGTGGGAAAGGTAAATGTCTTCTCCTCAGGCCTCTCCTCGAGCAGTCTAGTGTTTTCTGAGATGTTTCTCAGAACAGGATTAACTGCAAGGCCTCCATTTCTTGAGCATTTTTTGTACACCAAATGTAAGACCACTAATGACGAGCAGCATTTAAAGCTGATTATGTACTGAATTACAGAGCTGCTGGTCAAGCAGTATTACACATTGGTTAAGACTTTCTAAAAGTTTGAGCCTTAGTGGCAGGAGTCATTCCTCTGTGTAAACTGGCTAAATGTACACCAATATTTAATTTAATAGAAAAGGTTTGGGCCTCTAACACATCAACAGTAAATTCAGCAAAAATCAGCTCCTTCACTGACACTTAAATAAACCTAAATGAAAAAACATTTAGAGCTGGAAAACCACTCTTCCTTTATATTCTTAGAAGATAAATTACCATCATCATACTGAGAAATGAAATAGAGAACTGAAATAGAGACAATTAATCACAACACTTCATCACTTCATTCCTCTTTCTGCCTCAGAGCTCCAGATCCCCGACAAAGCTAATGTATTTTATGCCATGAGCACCTCCGCCAACTATGACTTTGTGCTGCATCAGCGCTGGAGGAGCCACGGGAGACATCTCGGATGCTCTTCCAGTCCTGGAGCTCAACCCAAGAGCCGCCACGCCAAGTGAAAAGCATCCGTCCTGGCTGAATGTCAGGAGTGTCCTTCTAGAAGACAGAGGAGCTGCTCATCTGCTACAACGGCCCAACAGCACATCTGTGGCCATTGAGAAGTTGTCACTGTGCAGCAAATATGAGCCACTCCGCCACAGAGATTCCCTGGGAAACTGGAGAGTTTCGACTGAAAAATAGACTTGAGGACCTCTCAGCCTTCACTGGGAGCAACACTGATGTGTTATACCAAGAATTATTCTGGACTGTTTAAAGAGAGATGCGAGAAGAGAGAAATGTTAAAGTATATAGAAGAAAGACACCAAGAAGAAAGAGCAAAATAAAACAAGACTTTGTGGAAGAAATTAGGATTTTGTAATCTCATATTGTTCTCCATCATCTTAAACATCGACATCTTTTGGATAAACGAACCACAACTTACCCAGGACCTTTTTTCCTATAATAGTACACACTTGTTTCATTGCACATTACATTGTGGATTATTACACATCATAAACTGAACAGCACTAGAGGTTTCACTGCAGCTAAATACAGACATCAGGAGCAGCTGCTCTGGGAAACAGCCACGAGTCGTGTTTCTACAGGAGGAAATCGGGCCGTTGTTGTCTGGGACTGGTACATCAGATGTGGGGACTGAATGACTGACTCCTTTTTAACTACACAAAGCTGTGTGACCAAGTTGGGATGCTCACTATCAGATGATGAGTAAGCATTCCCATAACAGATCTGGGTCAAATGTTAAATCAGTCTGATTGATGAACACTGAGACTTAAACCAAATGGTGTTTGAAACACCGTTTGGACCCAGGCCTGTTACTCCTCTGAGAGTCACTAGTAAGTATTCAGTTATCTTCTAGTTGAGGATTTAAATGTTTTAATGCAACTTAATGTAATTTTATCAATTTAAATTATTTATGTATCTCAGTATTCAGCTTTTAGGGCAACGTGGCACGATGAAAATGTGTTAATTTGTGTTTGTTTTTCGTCTTCATTTTGGATCCTCTCCTCAGTCTTTAATGCTAAACTGTCTTTCAGACATAAATGTACTTAAATTGCTTCAGTATCTACTAAGCTTAACTTAAGTTTATTATTTTCAATGAAGAAAGCTGACTTTTTACTGTCTGCTGATAAATATTAAATGAAGGATTTATTGTATGTGAGCATGTTACAAATGCATTTATATCAAAAGGTATCTCTTTTGTGTTTTCCTCCCTGATAATGAAGGCTGTGATTCAGGTGAGGCTGCTCCTAACTGAAGTCTCTAATCTAGGGTAATCAAAGAAATAAAACAGGCCTTCTACAATGAGTGGCATATAGCTCACTCCACCTGCGTTACGCTGTGGAGGATTGATCTGAAGAATGGTTCATGTATGTAAAAATGAAGTGTCCCAGTAAGTGAATTTGATTTGACATATAAGATCAGCTCAGAAATGTGAAATCCTACACAACACCCTGAGGCAGCTTTCTGCAAGTATTAAAAGTGAAAAACTTTTTCAAGTCAATTTTGATTTGTTGTTGGTCGTTGGATGATGTACACAAAGTGGTTCAGACCCCTGTTTTAAATGAACAAAAACACTGGTGAAGTTTCTCCTCAGCTTTGTGCAGGATTTTGCGTCTCTGGGTGCAGCTTCAGTGCTGCGGTGGATTGTTAGTCAGGTGAGAGGTTGGTAAGAAAGGTCTGGCAGCTGCAATATACAGTATGAAGGATTCTTCAGCGTGACTATGTCTGTCTGTCTTGTCTGTGTGTTTGACAACTGTATTGTTAGAATGCTTTCATGCTTATTCTCGCCTTTATTGTGCGTTTGAAGTGAAGTTGTCAACATTACTGTATGCGAGTTGTAATTTAAGCCTACTTGTCTTTGTGCTACTATTTTATTTCAACAGATTCTTTATTTTTAAAATTAAATCTAAGCACTAGCTGGTTATAGTTGGTATTAAATGTCCACCAATAAAGACAATTTACTATTTATCGTAGTGTCGCAATTGTGATTATTTTATTTTTATTTATTGTGTTGCTTTTGACCTCAGGATTTCCAGAAAATGTCCAGAAAAAAGAGAGAGGTTGATATTCAGACTGCACAATTAATGAAAATATTATAGAAATCGCAATTTGACCAAGTGCAATATGCAATTTGTTTGATAAAAAGTAAATGTGTGTCAAAACAGCATTATGATGAAGTACTGAGGTGCCGCAGAGATGCCCTGGTCTATAAATCTTCTTCTGCAGATGTAAGAAAACATGTTTCTTTGGTACAGATCCCAAAACATTTGTCACATCAGCATAATTTTAATCTTTTTTTCAGTGAAAATTAAATTTAATTATAAATTTAAAAAAATTATAATTTCCACAATAATTGTGAATCATAATGCAATCGCAATATCTGTCACAATTTAACAATATGATGTTTTTGCCCAATAGTGCAGCACTACTGTTGATATCAACATAAGCACTGTTATTCTGTTATTCCAGATTCTGTTTATAATATTTGTACTGTTGATCGCTGAAACTGGAAAACGTAATGGTTGTAGCCGACCACAAGGTGGAGCCAAACACAAATACTGTTGTTGTTGAATGTTTTGTTCTGCTTTGCTCAGCCTGGCTCCACTCAGAGACAGACAACTGGTTTATCCTAAAGTCAAAAATCAAGTCTTCTCAGGAGCAACCTACGCTTTCTCAAACATAAAGTGAGTTCGGACAAAAATCTATGAGGAAACAATGTCGTCTCAGCAGTTAAAAAAAAAAAACTGAGATCCGAATAAAACAAAAGCACGATCAGGAAACATTGTGACTAAAGAGTAGCAGCTAAAAGCAAGTGAGGAGAGTCGGGTCAACCGGGTCGTTCTCCTGCCTCTGCACCCTGATGTAGCACTAAACAATGTGTGAGGTCAGAGTTCACATTGACAGATGTGTGTGTGTGTGTGTGTGTGTGTTTCTGTGTGTGTGGTAGTTAGAGGTTGTGACCTGTCTGGCCAGCTCTGCTGCATGTGGTCAGACCTCTAATTTCCATATTTTGAAGACACTTCTCTCCACTCACACTCTTTGACCCCTCAACTGTCAATAGGAGATGGGTTAGATTTCTAAGAGCTCAGTGCAGATGGTCTGTGTGTGTGTGTAGCTGGTTCAGAGATTTAAAAAATAAATACTTTTTATTTCCTTTCTTCTGCCTTTCATTTTTAACCATGTTTTTTTATTTCTATTCTCTACTCTCCCTTTTATCTCCCACTGCCTATCTGTGTTTACCTATATGTGCAGTATGTGGTGTTGAGTGAGCTTGTATTGATTAGTTTATCTACATTAAATGGCAAACAGACCCGTGTGTGTGTGTGTGTGTTTGTGTGTGTTTGTGTGTGTTACCTGTACTAGTTTTAAATGCCACACTGTCACCACCTGTGCAGGATGTCACAGTGACACTTAAGTCACATGCTCCCCTCAGCTGACTGCTTATATTACATTAAGGCATCTGCGTGTGTGTTTCTGTGTAAGCTCACAGCTCAAGAAACAGAAATAAACAGGCCAGGATTTTTTCCCCCTAAGGGCAGATCAGTCTATTTTCCCCACTTGTGTTTGTGGTTTCCTGCAGTCGTCTTCTTCCCTGGGGCCTCGTGGCTAATTGAGTCTTAATGACTTCCAGTGTGTGCATTGTGGTTCAGGCCACTTTCCTGACATGAACTCAGAAAATGTTCAGTCAATAGGCGGACTAGCATTCAGTCAACTGGTGTCATGTGAGAGCTGAATATAATTTAGTCTCAGTTCACCCCAGGTTGGTTGACTCTGAAATGACTTTTACATGATTTTTGTTTCATGCAGTGTTTGTTCTTTTAAATGGCAGAACTGAAGCACAACTAAAATCATCAGTTGTTTGGTTTTAGTAGTAGCTCAAATAATAGTTTGCTTGTGATCAAAAACTCAGAGACATTCCATAATCAGTTGACTGGGACGCCCTTGGCGCCGACAATGAACTGTTCATTGTCACATAAAAGGCTTAAAAAAGAGAAAATTAAAGATGTTTTGTGAGTAATTTAGAACAACACTTATCTATCTGGACAATCAGCAACACAGTAAGAACTAGAAAGCACTCAAAGAGGATGTGTGCCTGTATCAGGGCCGCCCAATCTTGTGAATGGGTTATTTTAACAGAAAATGTGTAGTTGTTTTGCTCTGTATCAAAAAAGACAAGGCGATAGATAATTATGCTGATTTTCTTTCTGCCTGGGAATATTGGGGCCAAATTTCAAGGTATAAACATGCCCAATTCAAATGTGCCCTTGTCATATCATGTTGCACAACATGTTGAGTTATGAGTCATGGTGGTTCATACCAAACATGCCTCATATATAAAAATTATATAATTATATATTATATATATAATATAATATATTATTTTGGAAACATGCATGGGTATTTTGAGGTGTAAATCTTGTGTGTGTGATCATGTAATTATTATTTGGGTTATTTAATTTAATCTCTAATCATTTTGCTGCTGATCAGGATAAAACAAATCATGAGGATATGTGTGCTCTAGTCCTCTGTGGCCTTCTGGAAAAGCGAAGCAGACCGTGCACAGATTTTCTTAGTAACCTTTCTTGAAGCCTTCATCAGAATAACATTAATAGATTTTTTTTAATTCACCGCCGAAAAAATTAAATTTCTGCCCTTTGAGTTGCACCTTCAACAGTCAGGGGTGGGAGACAGAGAGGGAGCCACACCTGATGCCCCCCTACCAGAGTCAAACAGTGATAGGTAGTTAGGCATGTTAGTGTCATGGATGGATTACAGATTGAGCCTACTGGGTACAGGCCCCAGACGTTATTATCTACAGGGGGAGCGGGTCCTCTGCTGGCGGAGTACGCCATGTTTCTACGGTGGCCCAGAACTGACAAACACTGGATCGAGGAGCTTCTCCCTCACCACTAAATCCTACACACTGGTCCCGAGAGAAAATCTTTACAACAACGTCAAACTAAATCCTAAACACATCGTTTTCTCATTAATCGGTACATTTGATCTTTTATATATATATATAGTTATATTTATATTTATATGTTCTTAATATATGTTGTTT